CACGTCCTGCCAGCCTGGCGTTATACAGCAGATACAGGACTTAAACTCACCTCGCTGACAGATGCTTGCTCCTGCGGTGTGGGAACCAACGGACTGCCGACCTTCTCCTCCCCTCCTCACACACTCACCAAAACCGCGACTTCCCGATCGAGAACACGGTTTGAATTGACCCTAGGGGGGATCCAGCAATCATCCGGATACCCAATCCATCAACTATCCCTCCATCCTGAAGTGGCTCTTTTATTTCCCGCTCATTGGTTCGTTGTTCGGCTATTAGCCGCAGCTGATTTATAGTGTGGAGGTTTTTTGTCCGGTGTTTGTGAGGATGGCTGGAGGCGGCAGGTAGCGCCCAGCAGACACGCCCACCCTACTCACACACAGGTGAGTTTCCTCGTGACGCAACGGCCATCCTTCAGCTGTCCAAATAGAGACAACCTGTGCCCCAGATGACTCATATTCGTACATACGGGGAGACGTTGTCTTCAGGTAGCCTCTACCAGGCTTTGGAAGCGGATGGACAGAGTAGAAGTTGGCCAAAATGATAGATAACTTGCCAGGAAAGTTGGTTAGCTAAAGCCTAGTACAGGAGTGCAGTTTGTCGCTTCAGAATGCACTAACTAGTGGACTAACTCACACAGGTACGGGAGGATGTTGTCTTTAGGTAGCCTCTACCAGGCTTCGGAAGCGGCTGGATAGAACAGGAAATTGGCCAACTAGACAGATAACATGCCAGGAGTGTTGTTCCGCTAAAGACTCGAGTTTGCTCGCTCCAGAATGTACTGATTCATTCGCGACCGGTAGCAAGGTGGTCCTGTGGTTAAGGTTGTTGAAAGTCTTGGGGGTTGAATCCCTGGCAGGTCCTACTAGTGTGTACTTGGGAAAGGCCTTTAACACCTATGTCCTGAAGTGAACATGAGCACGTAGCTTTGGTTAGGGACGTCCTAACCTAACCTAACCTAACCTAACCTAACCTAGCACGTTAAAGAACCCATCACACTTATAGAAAAGAGTTGGGGTTCTTTCCGGTGTGAGTGGTTCAAACCTTACAGTCTGGTCCCAGTGTTGACATCCTGAAGAGGTGATCATGATTGTCACCTGTTATATTATTCCTTCCACAAACGTAGTAAATCCTCATAATAAGACAGCCCCCGCGTTTTGCTATCGTAATCTTATGGTATGGCGAATAATGTGACGAATAATCGAAGCACGATTTCACATTGTACAATACAATACAGCACAGTACTCTCTTCCACCACTCTATAACTTTGTATTCTCTAAAACAGACAAGATTTGACGTTGGCAATATATAGTTGCTTGGTACAATTCTCGGTTAGGCGAGTGAAACTGTATACCGAATATTGGTCTTTGTGCTTTATGAGTTGTCTATCAGTAAAATGTAAGCCATAGCTGGCTTATGTTGTCGTTGTTACTTTCCCTACGGGCAACAATGTTCTTAAAGGCTTCTGGCGAAGCCTACTGAAACATATTCGCTCAAAGACGAAACGAAAGCATAAAAACAACCTTAAGACTGAAACGTCTGTACCAAACACGAGTAGGGCTTGACAGAACCTATATATCGTTACGCAATCCAACTGCGTGCGACCGCCCAGTGTCGTGTTGGTTCTTCATGTCAGATATATATCTGTGCCTTAACAGTGTCTGAACTGTAACAGGTATCGTATCCAGAATCAGGGCCTATCTAGTTCTATTCCTGAATGGGTTAGAATCAGGCACGGTTCTGGATAGTCTCCGCGTGTCCAAGAACGTAGATTTGCCCCAGCCACGGTTCTGGATACGCGTGGACTATCTAGTATCTAGAACTGTACCCGAGCATGCTTACGGTAAATCACTGTTCTGGACAACAATAAGAGTAAGGTGTACACACCTACCAGTTAACGTGTCCCCACAGTTCCTCAACTCTCAGTCCCTCCCTCACTCACTCCTAACGCAAAGGCGTCTTACATAATTCTACAGAAACGTCAGGTAGCGTGGCGGTGACTATCTAGTATCCAGAACTGTACCCGAGCATGCTTACGGTAAATCACTGCTCTGGGCAACAACAACAAGATAACCTGTACGCACCTACCACTTAACGTGTCCCCACGGTGCACCACAACTCAATTCTTAGCCCCTCACTCGGTCCTAACGCTACAACGTCAGGTGTTATCCCGAAACGTCAGGTAGCGTGGCAGTGACGTCTGACGCCTCCGCTGGTCACTCTGCTACAAACACTTGCGCGCAGGTAGCCCGTCTTCCTGCGTACCTGTGCTCGTTAAGCGCACATTCCCAGCTAAAAAGCGAGCATCACAACCCTCCACACCTGGTCCGCCCCAGGCGGGTACCTAATAAGTATGTTGACCCCTGCCCAGCGCCTCGGTACAGGGGTGGGAGTAATAAGAGGCTTCGGTCCGCCGCCTTACAGCCTCCTTTGTTGCCGGCAAGTCAGCTGGATAATAGAGATACACCAGGTGTGAGATCAAAAACAACCACAGGTATCCTGACGGCTGCCGAGCTGGTATTGTTCTGGTCTAGCCTCCTGTGCAGGCCTCCGGGAGGGCGGGGGTTTTGGTACCGCGTTTTGTAGAAGTTTTAATGAATGAATGACGACCTTTATTGCACGTTTTTGTCACACAGGTCACAACAAAACATGATGAACGGATACAGTTAACAAATACAAAAGAAACTAATTATTGTTATATGAATTCAAGTTCTCGTTTTGATACTGCGTTTTGTAGAATTGTTAACGCGTTCTTTTGCCGGCCATCCTACAACCAGCCGCTCAGAGAAGGTTTGTACCCGCCTGTACAGCGGCTGGTTGTAAGATAGCCTAGCCTCTACCAGGCTTCGGGAGGCGACTGGAAAGAGTAGAAATAAGAGTCGGCCAGATAGAGAGATAAGCATGCCGGGGGAGTTGGTCCGCTGGAGAGAACTGTTCTACCATGCTATCTCTCTATTTTGCCGATTTCTACTCTTTCCAGACGCCTCCCGAAGCCTGGTAGAGGCTAAGAACGCGTTAAAACTTCTACAAGACGCAGTCTCAAAACTCCTGCCCGCCCCGAGGCCTGCACACGAGGCTAGGCGTGACCCCTGCCTGCTCCAAGGATCATCGCGCCCAAACCCGCCGTCATTCAGCCGAACGACTCCGTAATTACCAGGTACAAATTATCGCTGGTTCTCAGAGATCGTTATCGCACCTGAGAGCTCCGGTTCAAAGTGGAGATAGATCAGGTCCTTTTATGTAACGTTAGTGTAACCAATATGCCCATGTTTTGTTGATATCCCCTTTTTAAATGACTTGAATGAATGAAGGAAGACCTTAATTTTAGCTTTATTGTGCATTTTTGCCCAATTGGGATAAGCACAGGTCACAAGATTACAATCATATGCATTGTACTTCGGTTTTTAATTCAGTGGCAACACTACGACTTACAATGAAGATATCTTGTATCTTGTATCAATGTTCTAGCCAGCCTCATTTTTTTGTTTCGTCTTCTCAACTTTGTTTGACGTTATAATATGTCATGTCGAGCGCTAAAGTCACCTGAGGCGACAATCCTAGTCTAGCAGGGGGTCCGGAGGCAAATTTTTGACATCTTGACCCTCTTTAACCTTGTTTCCTGCATTTTAAAGGCAATTTTTTCTTGGTAGACGAAGCTTAGTCTTATGTCATATCTTTTCTATATATAATCTTTAAAGGCTAATTTTTGTCCGTCAAAGATGATGGGCAAAATGCAAATTTTTTTGTGTCACCACAAATTCCTTCAAATGACGGAAAGACACTGACCCAAACTGGCCCAAGTCAGGAAGCAAGAAATTTAGAACAGGTCCTCCTGTAATATGTTTCACCGTTTCGCTCTAGATATCGACCACAGTGTACTTACTCAATTGCAAGATTCCCAATCTTAAAACATCCACCTTAACAACAACAAAAAAAAAACTTAATCATCATCAATCATTTGCCGAGCATGCACTACAGGGGAGACGATTACGTTGAAAGCAGCGTTTTTTTAATTGTCCGGAAATGGTGCTACATTTGAAATGGCGAAACCCCTTCATTTCGGTCAAACATGTCGATCAACCTCGCCTGGTATGCGCTCAGGAATTCTCGTTATGGAAAGTGTTTCCATTATTCCATTATTGGTCTAATAACGAGGGCAACCCACGAAGGATGCTGTAAAACAATTTCGTGTTGTTTTAAAATGAAGAGTGCAGGAAATTATCCACATTTTCTCCATAGCTGAATCGCTCCGCCCATTTCTCCAATACACTTTCCTAAAATTTTCTTTGAAAAAAAAAAGGAACATAAGCAAGGTAAAAACGGTCATATTCAATTGACACAACGCATGGCGCATGCCTTTTTAAGATAAATTTTCCTAGTTTTAGATTTTTTTTAAATAGAAAAGAAAAATTCACATTCCTCATGAAACTCGACAATCCTCCATAAGCTCCATCTGTTCTTACATTTACAACTGTCTTAAGAAGCGAGAAGAAGCAGAACCTGTACATATGTAGTTTCAGATATATTTTAGTCTACCATCGCTATTTGTCGTGACCTGTTCTTAGTTCGCAATGAGCAAAAATGTACAATAAAAGTCTTTCATTCATTTATTCAGCCTGGTGGAGACTAGGTACGCTAGACTACGGAGAGTGTTAGTAACTTACTGTACATGATTGATACTAGCCTGGAGTCCAGCCTTGTTAGCTTTGGTCCGCTCTCCAAGATCCTCCACCCAAAGCTAAAATGGCTGGACTCCAGGCTAGCTTGATACCTTACACAGTAGACTACGGAGAGTGTACGTAACTTACTGTACATGATTTTCCTAGTAGAAATCGGCCAAATAGAGAGGAGATAATATACCAGGGGAGTCGGTCTGCTGGAGAGAACAGTTTGCCGCACCCGAAGATGTCCTCTCCCAGCAGACAAACTCCCCTGGCATGTTATCTCCTCTCTATTTGAACGATTTGTACTCTATCCACCCGCCTTCCGAAGCCTGGTAGAGGCTACACGATTGCTACACAGTAGACCACGGAGAGTGTTAGTAAGTTACTGTACATGATTGATACCATTACATTATCCGTGTTAAGCCTGTTCGCTCCGGGGTAGGACACTTCAGACGTGAAGAGTCCTGATTCGTCAGTGGGAGGGCATGCCTGGATAATGGGTGTAAATTAGTAGCGGCAGTACCGAACCCTGTCATTATCCTATCATGGCCTACAGCACGGAATTACCGGGGGAAAATAGACTTTTTACCTTCGCCAAGAAGGTTATGTTTTCCGTAGCGTTTGTTCGTCTGTCCGTTTGTCCGTTTCTCTGTGAACAGCATAACTCAAGAAGCTTAATATGCATTGTCATGAAACTTGGTAGGTGGGTAGGTCTTGATGATACCTAGAAATGATTAGATTTTGGGCCCCCTGGCAGCTTTTGTTGGTACTGCAGCAGAACTTCCGGTTTTGATATCTCGCGATCTGGACATGCTAGGGTCACGAATTTTGGTTGGTAGGTAGCTCTTGGGATATGAAAGAAGTGACATGAGTTTGGGCCCCCTAGCAGCTTTTTATGGAACTGCAGGAGCGTTTGTTGAAAAATCCTTGTTTTTTTGTTTTTGCTTTTTTTCTTACACTTGCGGTTATAAGAGGTGGTGGTCACTATGCTCCAAGCAGATGTAGGGTGTGGCTCAGTGTTCTACACATGTCTTTGGGAATCTCCAAGCAGATCTTTTGGCCACAGTGTCTTGCCTATCAGATACTGTTCTGCTTAATGCCGAATTGTTAAATGATTCTTTACGTAAACGTTTCATGTGAAACTACTGCCTTTAGCCCACACCACTTTAGGCAAGAACATGCAAATTAAAATCCTTCGTTCGTTCTTTCTTTTCTTCCTTCCTTTCGTCCTTCCTTCTTTCCTACCTTCCTTCCTTCCTTCATTTTCCCTCTTCCCCTTCTTTTCCTCCTTCTTTTCTTCCATCCACTCTTCCTTCCTTCCCTTATTCCTTCCTTCCTTCCTTTCCTCTTTTTGCAGCGTTGGCACCTCTTCTTGGCCTGAGACAAAAAGCTAAAAACGATAACCAAAAGAAAAAGGAACAAAACGCCGCCAAAACGTGTATGTATGTCCCTTGTTTGTTTGTCTTCCAAACCCACCGTCCCTGCTTCCCCACCTTTTTTAATTATTTCAGTCACAAAATCGGCCTCATTCAATTTCAGACGGCCACCTGCAAGACTCAGAAAATTGGGAACACATTTGCAAAGTTGGACGTCGGTCAGAATCCTTGAAATAAACCCTCAAAGTAGGATAGTATTACTTTTTTCTCCGTGACATGGACTGCGACTGCACAAAAGGTGCACCAAGGATTGAGGTGTTCAAGAATTCACTCTTTCCTAGAACTATCGCAGAGTGGAACTCACTGTCACCAAGTACAGTAGGGGCACTGTCAATAGATAGCTTTAAACAATGTCTAGAGTTAGATGTTCAAGGGTTAGGTGTAACAAGTCGATCGGTGTAATAAAGCCAGCTGCCGCCGCGCCGCGTGCCAGCGAAGCTGGTGTGTTACGCCGAAGGGGCGTTATACCGGATATACAGATACAGATACAGAAGGTGTAAGGTGTTCGTGTATGCTTTTCTTTATTAAAACAGAAATAAAGAAATGAAATACAGACAAAATGGCAAAACACACAAGTTGCATTGAACTTATATGAACGCCGCCACCACACACACACACAAAAAAAGAGTTAAAAAGAACGATACAGGTACATAAGCGGACAGATAAATATATACACAATCGAAACCACAATTTAGGGTCACACCCGTCCCGTATATGCTGAAAGAGAGATTCTCGTAGTTACAAGTACAATGTAGTTGAGCTGGGCGACGGTGACACTGCGCCCTCTAACGATCAAACATAAAACTACAGCCATGTACTAATGTTGGACGTTCCACCACAAAGTCACAAAATACACAAGGTTTTAGTTTCAACCGTGTTGAGAAATAAAGAATTAATGAAAACCTTATAAAATCCACAGACATGCTCCTATGGAAGAAGAATTTAACATTTTGACGGTTTAGTTACAATCTTAGTTCTAAATCGAACTCTGTCCTTAGTGCTGAAATGGCATTTAGTGACTACTTGTTTACGTTGTTTGTTTGCTCTGATAAACCGCCTTTAGGCGCAACGCCTATCTTTGTACAGAAACAAGCTGTGTCTGTATAAAAGCAAGGTTTGAACCACTCACACAGCTTCATTACTAAATCTAACACAAAAAGTTAGGAAAATTTATGCTGTTCATATAGATTTGTAAGTTGATACAGATATACTAACAAACATCTGATACTGTGTATCTTTCCCAAGCGGTACTACAGTATTGATGACGACTGCTACAAACATATTTACATGATATCAAATTCTAAACATTCGTCTAAAAAGCTTCTTGGTAGAAAGAGTGTCTTAGTCAAAGTGAATTCACACGTATAGTACAAACAAATGTTTCTTCCCCAAGCGTGTCTCA